TTTGATGCAAAAACGCATGATCGCACCGGCTCGCCTGGTGCGTTCCAGCCTGGGTTTCTTTTTTCAGAAGTACAGAGTCACCAGTTAGTTTTTTTTTTTTATAGCAAATAAAATGTGCCCATGGAATTTGCCTTTACAATTAGTTGGCGCAGGTTTTTGGCAACTAATCAAAATTACCATCCCATTTCTAATTAGTCTAGGAAGGTGAGCACTGTTGATATCCTCCTACACTGCCTCCGTATCACGCTCAGCTTGTGTTGCTGTTAGCAAGCTGCTACCGTTCAAGAACTTCCAAACGGTTGCTGTTGGCAGTGTGATACTACTCAGTAAGTACTGAGTCTCATAACGGAAAAAATGCATGAACACCTAACATTTTGTCGTTTCAAAACCCATAGTGCCAAAATCACATACAGACTCACTGTGCTAAACGAACAAACTACACAGTAACGAACGGGGAAGTTGCTAGCTAGGCGAAAACATTTGCTCGAACCCTCGTATGATATTATTTGGAGCGGGAAGCTCAAAACTGCTCAGTGGAGAAGCTGGCAGCTGTATCGGTGACTAGCACGAAGACAGTAGTGCCGTTGACAGACTGCGGAAAAACGATAATGAGAACCAGCAGATTTAAAATACCAAAGTAAAAAAATGAACAATCTAGCGTTCTCAAGCTAACAATGGTTTGGCGAAAGCGAGTTGTTCGTCATTGCGTGGGAGCCATATCGATAAATATATGAAAAATAAAAAAGAAAACAAGCGTGGAACAAACATTCAGATCAATGAACTGTTCGCCATAAAGTCGGCGGAAAAGCAATTGCTGTTTGGTGAATATCCATTCTGTCCACTTCATTGATAAAAACGTGACGAAGAGATTTGCTGCTCTTTGGTAATAGCTCATTTCGTCCGTGAATGGTGTGAAAACACCTAAATCGATTCGTAGGCATTTTTTTTCCTTGCATCCAGAAAGAAGTGTTTAAGGAAAAATTTAGTGATATCTGACCTTATCGAGAAATATACATATCAGATATATGTACTCCCCGAAAATCGAATTCGCTCACTAGCTCCCGTGCATTAGTGGCAGTATTTTATATTAACAGTGCTTTAATCAATTAACAATGATCATCGCTCGGATGATAAGCAGTAACTGACAAACTGAAAATGCTCTAATCCACTCAGATTTACCAGAGCTGAACAAGGCTATACCTACCAGGCTTGCAAATGCTATCATGCGTTTCTGCAGTAAACATGCAGCGGAGAAATCGTTTTCTCCGGCATCCGCATGTGACGTCCAGACGAAAGCGAGCGATGATTTCGGGTTGAAAAGACGAAACGTATTACGGAAACACGCTCGCAAAATTTCAGCTTACCAGTTTTCCTGGCTGCTTAGTTGAAAATGGATGACAAAGTTCACTTACACACACACACACACACATACATTGCGAATATCTCGGTCTTTTGCGATTTTGCTCACTGTAGAAGCATTGTGGTGTTGCACAGCAAAAAAACACAGAAACATTTGAACATTGTTGCCATATTAATATACGTTAAATGAATACAAACGCGCAAAGCGTTGAATTTTGGATAAAAATGACAAAATTTTACTTAAAGCAAATACCAACCTGGGATATAGCTGGGCACAATTGGTACTCCAAGGGCCGCATTGCAGTGCTCGAAAACCACGGTTGGAGAAACAAGAACATGCGCTGGTATTTGAAATAATTCCATCATACCTAATATATTACAAGCTGAGTTATGTCATGTCAGTTTCGAATATCTTTAAAAAATGCTTCAAGCGTTTCAAGATAAAAACGTAGTTAGAGGCTCAGTTTTCTTGACAAAGCTTGGCGATCGTGCTTATAAAATATGGCTTGTTCTGTCATTCGCTTTGGGAGCCTCAACTGTTACTTTTACTCAGTAATTGGAGAATTCTGAAAAGTGGGCAACTACTAAAACTCGGCTCGGCTCGGCTCGGCCGGTGCGTTTTGCGCCCCAGTGAGGCGTCT